AGCGATTTATCCGTTGGATAGCGTTATCCACCCTTTATACAACTGGGCCCAGGACAATAATTAGTTTCCTGTCGAGAAAAATGCAATATAAAGAGAAGGAACATTTCCAAACAGATTATGATCAAGTGTGAAAAAGAATCCTCGCAGGCGAACTGCAGTTAGAGGAATTGCATAAATTGCGAAGGCTGGAACAATTCAGGCTTCAAAGGGAACCGAAACTGTACCGCCATCCAAATAGAACACGTTAATTGAAATGTTAACGTTTCAGTGAAAAAAAAAATTTCTATCATTTTTCTATCAGCTCTGCGCCTACAGACATGAGGTACAGCCTGGACCTTTGTGACGAGGAAACTGATTTTCGTCAGAAGAGGAAAAGGGTTGTTTTTGAGACCATGAAAAAACTGCTCGGAGAACGAGGACCAAAAGAACTTGGCGAGGTAACTACCCTCTTGAAATCAAAGTGTAAAATGAACTGAACCCCAAAAATAGTTTTTGAGAAGCTAATGAATGACGACAGCACATTTGGTAAATAAAAGGATGATGATATAGTGATACAGAGTTTGTTTGCCCGTAATTAGGTGCCCTCGATTGCTATTCTTGGTTCAGGAGGAGGATTTCGTGCCATGGTTTCTCTCAGTGGTGTATTCTGTGCTCTAAAGGAGATGGGTGTGTTAGACTGTGCCATGTACACAGCAGGACTGTCAGGGGCAGCATGGTAAGTGACTTCATACCCAGTCCGGAGAGGGGTTACTCCCCTAGATAAGTTCTTTAGGCGGGCACTGACCTAAGGGGTGTAGTGTATGAGATGCTGTGGTCTGTAAACAGGCATCGATTTTAAAGGCTAAGTCTAAAAACGGCTGTGGAAATGTTAAATTATTTTATATTTACAAATCCCCAAAGTTTAGTTCTAGGATGAATACATAGCTGTTTCTGATCGACATCTTCACCTCATTTGTATAAGCCCGAAGTTTTCTGAAGGCTAATTTGTTTGTTGGATTGAATAAAATTGAGTTCACCAGTTGAAAAAATTGACTAAACGTTAGTTCAAACTGGACGTTTCGATGTAATCCCCCATAACAAAGAAGCCATCGTGATCTCTGATAGTATAGTCTGATCGTCCAGATAAGTGCAGTGTTGTCGGTAGTGGTGACTGACCTATCGACAACATAACTGGAAGTCATCATCGGAGTCAGGTGAATAGTTGTTGTCGGTCGAATGTTCTAAGTCCGGTTCGTACAGACTGATTGGTCAGTTTTGCCATGATGTTATTTGCTGCAAGACTCGAGTGGCGCAGGTCGGTCGTGATTGATCTGTTTCGATCCGTTAGGACGTTCTGTTCGGTTCGTTTGGAATATTAATGTCGTAAATAAGTTTTATTCACGACATATTTCAGATTATTCATGTTACTCCCAGATTCAAACATTTTATGTATTGAGTTCATGATCATTTCTAACGCAAAAACATTCTAGGTATCTTTCGACGTTATATTCTCATCCTGACTGGCCGAATACCCATCCGAGCAAAATCAGGCAAGATTTGAGAAAAAATTTGACAGACAACTGGATGTGGTTGCTATTGACTCCATCATGGATGTACAGTCACATGAATATCATTCTGGATAAAAGATCACGTGGACAACCAGTCAGTTTCACAGATTTCTTTGGTTATCTGGTTGGAGAAACTATTCTGAAGGACGTAAGTTACAAGGGTTTACACGGTGTGGGTTACAATTCGACTGAGATTGGCAGATGTTTTTAGCTTCTGAGTAGGGTGTAGAGCTTAGCGTCTTTCAAACAGAGAGAACATTGCTTTAAAACAAAGTAAAGATGAACTGGAAAATGCTTCGTATCCACCCCTGTAACAAAGCGGATTCTACCTTAACATACCATTTAGCTCCCGTTTAATTTTCTGAAGTGTCACAAGGACATAAATACGCTCAGTAATAGGATCTCCCTGTGGCATGTTACTTCGTTACCACAAAAATTGATTCAATTTGTCCAAAAAAAAAACCATTACAGCAAGTGCTCGCCACTCGTGCACCGAAAATAAAACTTGAATGAAATGGATAAGTTTACGATCTTAGGTTTTTCATTTATATTATCTGTTATTTCAAAGCGGCAACATGTTCCAAAATTGAGCGAACAGCGCCATGCAGTGAAAGACGCCGCGGCCCCAATGCCACTGTACACTTGTCTGCATGTAAAGAAGAACAAAGTTGCACAAGATTTTTGCGGTAAGATCATTAGAAATTTTCCTAACATAAACGAAGAATATAGCTTGAAATAATTTCCTCTCTTAAACCTTTCATTAACGCTCTCAGTGAAACTGAAAAAGAGTGTCTGATTTCACATTTAAAAGGAAATTCCCAGAGATCTTTCATTGATTAATAAATTTTTTTTCCGCTTATAGAGTGGCTCGAATTCAGCCCATATGAAGTAGGGATGACAAAATATGGCACTTTCATGAAGACTGAGCATTTTGGAAGCAAGTTCTTTTGTGGGAAATTGGTAACACCTTACCCTGAGCCTCCACTGTTTTACTTGCAAGGTCAGCAGTCACTTAGTTTACTAGGCTCAAAAGTTTTCTTAGCACAGCGGTCAAACGTAGAGGGTCAATTTTGGCAGGCCACGCGCCAATTTCCCGCTCAAAACTTCTGAGGAAATCACGAGGAACAACCGTCCAAAAAGAAAAAAAAAAGGGAAAAAAGTAAGCTCGAGAGTTTTCATAAACAAGCTTATTTAATCACGGGCTTTCACTGCTCTACCATTTTGTTTTTGGCTTTTAAAATCGTCAACATTTTCTAAATGTTGTCTGAGAACTTCGGCGGCAGAGTACATTGGCGATGTTACAGATATTTCTCGAGGAAGTTTTTTGAAATTATATGGAAATGTGCTAACCGTGTTTTTTTTTTATAAATTGCCGATTGAATGTGAAGGGGACAGTGTTTTGCTTAACTTACACACAATCATTACATCAGTCCTATGCCATTCTATTGCAGGAGTTTGGGGCAGCGCTTTCACCATCATGCTTCAGCGAATACTACACGAAGGCCAGTCACCAACCGACACAATAAAAAACATGAGCAACTCTGGCGACTTGAGACACGAGTTACGTAAGTAACTGTTGCTGGATTTCTTTTGATTCAGCTCGCATTTTACAAAGCTGTAACTTTTTCCCTATTGTTCTCAAAGATATGGATATCTCAAACGACCCTGTGAGTGAGGACGAGGAAAGCGATGAGGAAATGGACATTGATGCAGTTGATGAAAAGGAAATGGGAGATGAATACAGCCATAATGAAAACCACAGCTTCCTGATGAGTATAGCAGAGAGCTTCGTGGAGAAAATTTATTTCCTGAAAACCCGGTCTGGTCGAGCAGGCCTGGTGCACAACTTTCTACGCGGCCTTCAAATGATGTCTGCCCCAGTCCCCTCGGCTGGTGAATCATTATGGCATTCAAGTTTTGTCACTTACTTCATCACACATAACATTATAATCCGTTCATATTCAAACGACTCAGATTTTCCGAGCGCATTAAAAGGAAGAATAAAAAGCCAACAAAATAACAAAACTCGCTTTAAAAGCCCATCCAAACAAATTACGAAATTCCTCTTTTTCCGCACTAGAGGAGTATTTCTTGGCTCACAGCAAGTAGTTCTATTTTGCGAATGTAATCATGTACTTAATATTCTTCAATGTGCAGTAAGGCTTTTCTGATTTAGGGGAAAGATTAAAAAAACTTTTTAAAATTCTTATCATGCATGTTACTTGTTTTATTCATAGAAGCAGAACAGGTCACTGACACCGCTTACCAATTAGCAGCGAAGGCTAAACGTATATACTTGGTTGACAGTGGGCTCTTGTTCAATTCACCATACCCGCCGCTACTCAGACCGGAGCGAGATGTTGACATTTTCCTGTCATTTGACTTCAGTGCTCGAGAGAAGGACAACGAAATTTCTTTTCATGTAATCAACTAGATATCCTTTGTTGATCAAATTTTGAATTTTGACCAACATTTTGCACCCATAAACTTTAAAATATTATGTGTCTCGGTTTTGAACTCTTGAGTTAAAAAAGTTCTTCGCCAACAGGTTCAGTTTCGTCTCACTCATATTTCGCTTTTCAGGAACTGTATTTGGCAGAGCAATGGGCAAGAGCAAACAATTTGAAGTTCCCACCAATCAACGCCAAGGAACAGTTGGAAACGGACGGAATCAAAGAGTATTACGTGTTCACAGATCCCGCGGATCCTACCTGTCCAGTTGTGGTGCATTTTCCTCTCGTCAACAAAACCTTCAAAGAACAAAGCGAACCAGGTTCTTTCAGAGACTGGACTAATTTTTCTTTTTGTAAACGAGTGATTTGTCATTAGGTTTGAGCGCTTTTTGTTTTTTTGCCTCCTGCCGCCTATTTCTTCTGGGCACGAACTACGGCTGCGCTGATTTGTGGTGGTTGATCGAGTTGAAATTATTTCGTCGACACTTGAGGCAAGTTTTGAACATGAAAGAAGTCTCAGCTGAAGCATCCATGAAATAAAAAACGTGGGCAAAACCTTACCTTGACTTACATCATGCGTTCCTGAACAAATTAACGGAAATTGTTAAGTAACTTTTGTGTTCTATAATACAAACTAACTCCGTATTTCGTTTTATTTTTTCCTCAGGAGTCCCCCGTACGACTGCTGAAGAAAGAGAGTTTGCAAACTTCTCCGTGTTTGAAGATCCTGACGCCTATTATAGCACGTTCAACTTTCATTATCCCACAAAGCCATTCGATCGTCTTTCAGCATTAACAGAATTCAACACTCTGTTGGGTGAGCAGGCCATTAAGGGTGTCATAGCTGACTGTGTGAAGAAGAGACGCGAAGCAAAACCGAGGAATGGCTAATGGAGTGAACGGGAACTCCACGAAGAATGGAAGCCATTACTAACTGCGTTTTTCTTTACTAAGATATATAAATCAAATATCGATGAAAATTGCTAGTGTAGTGTAGGGATTATTTAATCAATCGTGTTTAACTAAGAAGCGTCAGTTACGTAACTTCACTGTGGGAATAGAACTGGAATGCGCAGGGGGCAAACTAGACTTGGGCTACTCGCTCGACATGCTATGTTTTCGGGGTTAAACTGTCAGTTAATTGTGCTTGTAATAGTAAAAAATAAAACCTCAATCGTATTGTGTGACGTAAAGTTGTAGTGATTGAAAGTCCGTGGCAGTATCTCTGATCAACAATGGCAAGTTAAATGAAATTAAGTTAAGTAACGTTTGAGGGGAAAATATATAGACTGACTTTTTTCACGCACGCCATTTCCATTTCTACATGTCACGTGACACAACCAACCGGAGGAATGTCGAGTGCAAATCATTCTCCAACTGCCTTGCTTACTGTTTCATCATTTTTTCATCAAAACAAAGGAGTTTTTTTCTTGTTTAAAACTTGATAAAGGTAAATATCTCAGACTCATTGATAACTTTTCGCTATGGCAATTCGAGAAAGTTAATCGTACTTTTACAAAAATGATTTCATGTTTTATTGCTTTCTATACTATCGGAGGCGGGGGGGGGGGCATTAGGGGTTTTGCAGTTATGATTATTTTTGAGATCGGTTTTTTCAGTTTTTGTGCTAAAAAAAACTTCGGTTTTTCGGTTTTGGTGTTATTTGCGGTTTGCGAATTTTCTTTTCTTAAGCATTTGGTTTTCGGTACTTTTCCTGTTTGAGTTCCGGTTTCTCTTCGATTTGAGCGGCAATTAGGCACCACCACTGATCTTTAATGGCCGCGAAACCTCTGTAGGCGCCACTTGTCACCCACCCCTGCATCGAAACGATTACAGCTTTGATAATGTGAACATTTATCGGTTTTGGCGGTTTTACATGCGGTTTCTTATTTGGATTGAATTGTTTTTGCGGTTTTGTGATTTTGGATTATTTTTTTCTACGGTTTTGCGGTTTCTAATAGAACCCACGCCCCCTCCTATCGATACAAGACATGATCCAGCAGCTCCAGGTTTTTGTCATTATCTTTTGTAAAACAGATGTTTATCATGTGATTTAGGCCGCTTCGGTTTTTATCTCTTTCCACTCTCGTACAGGGGTCTCATAAGGACCCAAACCCCTCTCGTGTTTTCACTTCTCCGCCACTATTGCACCATTTACTATCTTTCTTCTTTAAGTCACTGAATGTCTGGAACAGGTTATACTCTGTTGGGTGAGGAAGCCATCAAGGATGTCACAGCCAACTGAATGAGGAAGATACGCGGAGGGAAACCGTGCGACGGCTATTTCTCGAAAACATTTTAAAGATTTTTACATATTGGGCGAATAGACCGCGAGGACAGAACAGATTTGAATTAAAATTGTTAACTTTTAGTTCAAATCTGTCAATCGGCACCACGGAAATTCATAATGATTAAAAATCATTATAATTTCCGTGGTATCGAGTGACAAATCGTTTATCCTGATCATATGATGAACTTTCATGGTTCTGCACGTCTATCATTTAAGTATACAATGTCGTGTTTCTGGCGGTATGGGTCATGGTACACCCACCACAATGGCTTAGTTTGGACTCTATTTGCCACAAAGATCACATAGTTTGTATTCTTGTGAAAAAACTATCAATTACAATTCTTGAGAAAGCGTCAACACAAAGGGCAAGACGAAGAGAAATCGGGTCAAATTTCATTACATTACATGTAAACAGTGACTACGCAAACCGTGGGACTCCTAGGAGCAGAGTGTTTCACGAAGAACATTAACAAGTTGCCGTTGTCGTTTATTCGCCCAGTACCTTGAACTGTACGGACTACTTAATTAGATAAATAGTATAAAAGACATACTTGAGCTAGACAGGCGTGTCTCTTAACAACTGAACAATTATCCATTTGCCTTCACGCCTGAGCGGTCATCACGAATGCAGACACTATAAATAGCTAGGCCGCTACTTCTGGTGAAGAAAGAAACGCCTTTTCCATATCGGTTATCGTTCAAAATTTCAAGGAAGAAAGACGGCGTTGTTGTGTTTCCCAAATTGATACAGTAGCAGTTAGAAGATGGCTGAAAATCAGGTGAGCGGAACATGCTGAATAATAGCACTAGTGTTCACAACATGTGTTCGGCTTTTTTTTAGTTTGTCGGCAGTTCGCTTTTGATGTAGACTCACGACAAACAGTATCTAGCTGGTTGGAGAAGGAATTTCTATGAAATTTATACCAGTGTTGTATCGAGCGTTAGCCCTTTGTCAGAGCGAACTTCAGTTTTGAAACTCTTTACGATGGCCAATTTACGTTATCAACTCAGTTGATAATACCAAATTACCTTGTTGTACTCTCCCACCGACGCAGCAGTTCGCTTGTGATGCAGACTGGCGATAAAGAGCATCTGGCTGGTTGTAGAAGGCATTTCTATGAAATTTATTCTCAATAGTGATTCCCAGTCGACTTAAAAACAAAATTGTAACGCGCTAACGAACTTTCAAGTAAAACTTGTCTAGACCAGAGTTTTGCTGATGGACAATGGCGACGACTCAGCGTTGGGTGCAACCGAAAGAGATAATGAATCAAGTTACCTATGAAGAAAAAAAAAGAATAAACTATTTATGATTCTCTTTATAATAACAAGCTCCACGCTCCTTCAGTTTCAAAACTGACGCTCGCTCTGACGAAGGGATAACGCACGAAAGGTCTGTCTTTGTTTGAAACTCTTTACGGTGACCAGTTTACCTTATTAACTCAGTCGCTAATACTAAATTACCCTGTTGGACTCTTCCACTGATGCAGCAGCACTACTTTAGAAACTTACTCACTTTATCCACGCTCCTCCGACTGATAAAAGAAACACAATCCGCTATCAATAATAAGAACATTAATGCGTGGGGGAATTTGCATTTCTGAATTCCTTTACCTTGGAGGAGTCAAAACAGTAACTTTTGCGGTCGACTTTTTACCTAAAATACTACTACAAATCATGGAGAAGCATGTGAGCCTCCTTTGGAATACAACGATTGGAAGAAAACACACTCTTTCAGAGGGACCCAGATAATTCAATCGAATGTTTATTTCTGTTCAGGAAAAAATTAAAATCAGAGAAACATTCCACACCATTCCAAGGTCAGTTACGCGGAAGATCGTGTCTTCAACATTTCAGTCCTGTCGCATCTGATGCTCTCAAGGGAGACATGATATCGCATTCGAACTAACTTTTGAAACTGATTAAATTATGAGTAGGTGGCGTACGATCGGCAGAAAAGTTGGCTAAAAACTTTACCAAAATTATGTAGTAAACATCTTTTGTGATAGATTACTGAACAGACAGGACGGCAACATAGAATCTAGTTGTTTTACTTTATAAAAAAAAATGGTTACGCCATTCATGCGTCTGTCTTTCTTTAATCATAACTAAGAAACAATAACAATGTATGATTAATTAAGGATGACACAACCATTAGAGTGTATCAAGAAAAAGGAATAGGAATTCATAAAATAATAAGGTCCTATCACTTTTTCTTGATACGCTCTAATGGTTGTGTGTCATCCCTGTATACAGTGTATACAAAACCATAATTTCTTTCTAACTGTATAGAAGTTTTTTGTTTGTGTGGTCATGCGAAGCAATTAAACTTGAAATAGGATGTATGATTTAAGGAAGACATGATGAAATTCTTTAAAATCCACTTTCCATTCTGTTTCGTATCCTCCAAAAACCATTTCGGAGGCTGCACACATACGTTCACTTTCTCAAAGTCCTTTCCTGAATTAGCTGCGCAGTTGACTTACATGATTACAAGGGAAAAGTATTTATCTCGCTTTTTTTTGCAGGCCTTGTACCGTCAGTGTTTGTTACTCGATATCAAAGTGTTACGTGGAAGGAATATTACCCTGGGCACTTATTCTGATTGGGGTTAGTATTGTTCATTCAAAAAC